GACTGCCTGACATTACGACGCGACAGCAAGGTTTCTCCAACCAGCATGTGGTTTAGCTCATCATTGGCTGGACTGACTGATCATGTTCCTGTAGCTTTCATGTTGGAGGAAGTGTAACCGAGTAACCTGACAATAGGTGCTAGAATATGTGTATAGGTGTAGTAAAAATCACAATACTGTTTCAGGAAATATTTATTGCATTTTTTTTAGATTTGGATTTGTGCAGAGGAACAAAGTATGATTATTATGTACGTTTATGAGTCATAGATTGGATGTGTTTACTGTTTAGATTTGTTTTTTATAAATTCTTTATATATATATATATATATATATATATATATATATATATATATATATATATATATATATATATATATATTGATTAATAACAGTGTCATTATTTTTGGTATGGAATTCCTGAAAGTTCTCTTGTCATTTTTTCAGTTACTGAAGTGAAACAAAGGATAATTTAGATTAGACAGTGAATGACTAACCAGTGGACTTATTTATAATAATGAAAAACTGAAGTGGTCTCCAGTTCCCTCCTTTGCAAGTGAAGCACTTGGCACTCCCAATTTGTTAACTGTGAACCACAGCTTTGGACTCTTGTGAAGGGAAGAGAATGATCTTATCTGGATCTGACCGGGCACGAGCACTAGATGCATATTAAATGGCAGTTCCAGCACTAGCACCATGTTAAATGGGTTTCAGAGTTGGGGGTGAACAATGACTTCGATGCTTACTTTTTTATAATTTGTTAAATTGAGATATTTCATTTTAAAGAGAAAAAAGTAAAATAAAGAAATATTGTGTTTTATTTTTCCCACACACTAAATCAATGATGGTATTTGTAAAAAAAAAACAATCACTTACACATTTCATGATTAGATCAAAACGTATCATGATTATGGTCAGTCTTCCCTTCATTACTTCTGAATACTACACGCAGCGGCAAAAGAAGCTCTGCAGTCAGTGCTCCAAACCACGTTAATCAGCTAGAGAAAAAGACGGGAATGTAAGTCAGGCTGGGTTTACGATAACAGCAAGTTACGGACTACAACACGAAACACATGGATTTAAACTTTAAATTTAAACTTATATTTGCTAGTGATATATATACATATATATATTTGTTCAATTTACTATATCTTTCTCGACAATGCTGTCGAGAAAGGACAGAGCCCGCTTTGGGGAGCAATGAACGTACTCTAACTGAGGACACCTCCACTTTTAAAGCTTATGAGCAACTGTGAACATCACTAGAGTTTCCTGTGTTTCTGTTCAGCAGAAATGTCCACCGAACCATCGAAGATATATTCCCAAACTCGCGTTTTTATGAGAATTTCGTTCCTAATGAAGGTAGCGCGCTTGATTTCCACGATGAAACCCATTTTGGCTTTGACTTGGCGATTTGGATTCCCCTTATTTGGGTACGTGTTTATCCAGATTGCTGGATAAAAAAGAAAATATAGGCGGCTACGTGAAATATTTGCGATACAGGCGATGGAAAGCGGTTAATTTTCAAATGAAATATATTGGACCAAACTAATGATGCAATTGCAAGAGACAAGTGACAAGAGATATCAAATTTATGGCCTGCGGGCCAAATGTTGCCCTTGGGATGGTAATAGATGACCCGCACAGTGACCAGAGAATTATTGGCCTGTGAAATTATGATCGGCATGAAGGAACGTAATGTGATATACATTTGGTTACCATTAGTGTTACCATATAAAATCGAATAAGTAAAATTAACTTTATCTGTAAGTGCAGAACGTAATCCTGGAAAGTCTTCATTGGTCCTGAAGGTGGCAGCTGAGGGGAAAGTGGGCCCGCGAAGGGATTTGAGTTTGACCCCTGCAGTAGTTTCATTTACTTTGTGTGTGTGTGTGAGTGTGAGTGTGAGTGTACGTGTGTGTGTGTGTGTGTGTGTGTGTGTGTGTGTATGTATGTGTGTGTGTGTGTGTGTGTGTGTGTGTGTATGTGTGTGTGTGTGTGTGTGTGTATGTGTGTGTGTGTGTGTGTGTGTGTGTGTGTGTGTGTGTGTGTGTGTGTGTGTGTGTGTGTGTGTGTGTGTGTGTGTGTGTGTGTGTTTGTGTGTGTTTGTGTGTTTGTGTGTCCGTCCACCCATCCATCCATCCACCCACCTACCCATCTACCCACCTATGAATAGAATACTCTTGTTTGTAACGAAGCCTGTGATTGGCTCATTGTATTTCGCAAATATTTTCACTGACCAGTAATATCAGTCATTAAGATGATATTAAAAAGTTTGGAAACACTACATTGTTTTACCCAATGCTAAAATATTACATGAGAAATGTTCCTATATCCTGACGATACAGTTGGACAAATCTTAATACCTAACTTGTCACGGATATATATATATATATATGTTATATATATATATATATATATATATATATATATATATATATATATATATATATATATATATATACACATTTCTCAGGTTCAAATGTCGTTTTATTCCAAACAT